AAATTGTGTGAAGTGTTCTTGCCTCTACCAGTAGTCTACAACTGGAGTGGACGGAGTAACTGGGTGAAGTGGCTTGTCACTCTGCTGCCTGCTCACACACCTGGGTTCCTATGGCAACTCACTCTACAGCAAGGGCAGAGAAGAGCGGTTAAAAAACAAACTGCTCCAACTTGCTCACTTCACTGGCAGTTGCCATCTTCAAACGGTTGTTGTTTAAAAATTATAAAATTCTACACCGAAGAGCTTTATATTGTGAGAATCACAAGACCCAGATCTACATTTTGATGCATAGTATGTCTCTGAAATATAAAAAATGAAGGCACAGTCGCAGTTTAGAAATTGCCCTTCAAATTTGAGGTGGCTAGAGTGGAGTTTCAATGAATGTCAATGGGTGGCGTGAGTTGCAAACAAATGGTCATATTGTGAAAACTATCAGGACTATGGCTTAGCCGTGGACATTTTTAGTGGCATCAGAGATAACTGAACGTTTTGATATAAGGATTTGTGTAGGTGGGCTTGAAAATGAGGGAGTGATGGGAGTTTAGAAATCATGTCCTGATTTTTCAGCTCCCACTCTAGTTTTGAACATTCCGCCATTCATTTCTATGGGACCAATTTCACCACAAAAAACGCCGATATTTTGTGAACCATTCGGCGAAACGGTCCACAAAGTAATAACACACCAATCGGGAACAATCCGCGCGTTTCGGTACATTACTGTCTATGTAGTGTAAAAACTGTGGGAGGAGTTAGGGAGGTGAATTTGGCTATAATAAAAAGTATATACAGTGGGGATCGAAAGTTTGGGCACCCCAGCTAAAAATTTGTATTAATGTGCATAAAGAAGCCAAGGAAAGATGGAAAATCTCCAAAAGGCATCAAATTACAGATTAGACATTCTTATAATATGTCAACAAAAGTTAGATTTTATTTCCATCATTTACACTTTCAAAATAAGAAAAAACAAAAAAATGGCGTCTGCAAAAGTTTGGGCACCCTGCAGAATTTATAGCATGCACTGCCCCCTTTGCAAAGCTGAGACCTGCCAGTGTTATGGATTGTTCTCAATTATCGTCTGGGAAGACCAGGTGATGTCAAATCTCAAAAGTTTTAAATGCCCAGACTCATCTGACCTTGCCCCAACAAATCAGCACCATGGGTTCTTCTAAGCAGTTGTCTAGAAAACTGCAATTGAAAATAGTTGACGCTCACAAAGCTGGAGAAGGCTATAAGAAGATACCAAAGCATTTTCAGATGTCAATATCCTCTGTTCGGAATGTAATTAAGAAATGGCAGTCATCAGGAACAGTGGAAGTTAAAGCAAGATCTGCAAGACCAAGAAAAATATCAGACAGAACAGCTCGCAGGATTGTGAGAAAAACAATTCAAAACCCATGTTTGACTGCACGATCCCTCCAGAAAGATCTGGCAGACACTGGAGTTGTGGTACACTATTCCACTATAAAGAGATACTTGTACAAATATGGTCTTCATGGAAGAGTCATCAGAAGAAAACCTCTTCTACGTCCTCACCACAAAAATCATCGTTTGAACTTTGCAAATGAACATATAGACAAGCCTGATGCATTTTGGAAACAGAATTTAATGAAAAGAACCGCTGTCCAACTGATAAGCATGGGGTTGGATCAATCATGCTTTGGGGTTGTGTTGCAGCCAGTGGCACAGGGAACATCTCATGAGTAGAAGGAAAAATGGATTCAATAAAATTTCAGCAAATTTTGGATGGTAACTTGATGCCATCTGTGAAAAAGCTGAAGTTAAAGAGAGGATGGCTTCTACAAATGGATGATGATCCTAAACACACCTCGAAATCCACGGGGGATTACATCAAGTGGCGTAAACTGAAGGTTTTGCCATGGCCTTCACAATCTCCTGACCTCAACATAATTGAAAATCTATGGATAGACCTTAAAAGAGCAGTGCGTGACAGACAGCCCAGAAATCTCATAGAACTGGAAGACTTTTGTAAGGAAGAATGGACAAAGATACCACAAACAAGAATTGAAAGACTCTTGGCTGGCTACAAAAAGCGTTTACAAGCTGTGATACTTGCCAAAGGGGGCAGTACAAGATATTAACTCTGCAGGGTGCCCAAACTTTTGCAGATGCCATTTTTTTGTTTTCTGTTATTTTGAAAGTGTAAATGATGGAAATAAAATCTAACTTTTGTTGACATATTATAAGAATGTCTAATCTGTAATTTGATGCCTTTTGGAGATTTTTCCATCTTTCCTTGGCTTCTTTATGCACATTAATACGTTTTAGCTGGGGTGCCCAAACTTTCGATCCCCACTGTATATGTGAGATAACAGTAAGTGGTCTTGCCATGCAAGAACACTTAAAAAACCACAGATGTGGGACAATAACCTCTAATTGGCATTTTAACCCGTGTGTGTCACCTTGTGTGTCTGTACCAAGGCCAAACATTCCAGGGGATGTAAACTTTTGATCATGGCCATTTGGGCGATTTCTGTTATTAGGATTTAAAAAGGAGCCAAACAACTATTTTATAATGGCTTAATATGATCATCATCCTTCAATAAAAGAGCATTTTTTGGCATGATCAGTCTTATTTTCAATATCAATGCCAAAATTTCATAATTTCTGCCAGGGTATGCAAACATTTGAGCACAACTATATATATATTTATATATATATATTTACTTTGGAATCACTGTAATACATTGGTCTCAGCCCTGTAATGTCAGTGTGTAATATATCTAGCGAGCAACCACACAACTAGACTGTTTGTTAGGTAGAGCTGTCCTTCAAGTCTGTTCCTTGTTTCAATGGCATACGAGGCAGGTACAAATTCATTAACACTGCTAACCTTCATTCTACAAAGAAACGATTTGTTAAAAGTAAATAAATGTCCAGGGAGTGCATTCAGAGTTCCATTAGGAAGGAGTGACACAACACAAAATACCAGGCACCTACAGACCGCCAACAGGGATTATGCAATGCTATGCAAACACTATCATTTCCACCTTGTCACATTATTATCTTTTCAATATTTTCTATACAAGAGAACATATTTTCAAAAGATCAGAGTTGCTATTTTACTTGCCTAAAGCAAACATTTGCTGTGCCATGCATACTGGTAAGTACAGCGTTTTCACAAGGGCATGCTAGAGGGGAAGTGGCCGGACAGCCTCTTGATCAGTTTTGCTTGCCTGCATCTCTCGCTCTCTCCAGAGAATATAAATGCTTCTGCAAACCCAAATATTACCATGTAAAAGTAGCAGAGACATCACTGTGCTACACATAGCCTGTACAGAGAGCAGAGCTGTTGGAAGCAACGGCAGCTCCACCCCCTACAGGCTGCCTGCACAAAACTACAGGAGGGGCGGAGACCAGACCAGTCACCCTGCACAAAGAGAGAGCAGCTGTGACCAGTCAAGAATTACAGGAAGCTCCTGCACAGAGGCAGGTTTTACTACTCAACAGACCTGGAAGAAACAAGAAAAAAAAAAAAAAAAAAAAAAAAAAAAAAAAAAAGGACACCAAGGGAGATATTTAAAATGCAGCAAGTGTGACTTTCAACAAGCATTGACTGTTGGTCAGTCACTGTCATTGAATTAAAAACCAGAAAGGGAAACACACACACACACACACACACACACACACACGATTTATCAGATGTCGATGTCAGATTCACTGCTTTATAATTATGCCTCCAAGATTCAAGTAGAAATACACATGGCTCTTCAATTCAGACAAACTTAGTTTACCAGGATTGGAGCTTTACATAAGCAAAATCTAACCAGATAAAGCTAAAGTTTAATCTCTTCCCTTCCCTATGCAAAACTAAAAAAAAAAAAAATATAACATTTTGTCTGGAGTTAGGCTTTATAAAAAAGACAGTGGTGTCCTGGGCTCCTGACAGTGTATGGGGCATGCTTGTTTCAAAGTCTGATGCGGTTTATGGGGACCTACTGACAGAATTAGCTACTAAGAACCTCTATTGTGTCACTGAATGACAAGAGTTTTGATAGCCTAATCCACACAGAGCAGCAATCAGCATGCAGGTCTTAGCCTCTAAGCCTGATCTATTTGTGGATTCTTGGAGGTCAGCCGGTACAAGGCGATCAACTACTAACCAACAAAGCACAACTGATGGCTCGTCACATTCTACACAGCTGTGGGGGCATGCTTGCAAGAAATGTACAGGTTCTGTCACTTTCCAGAAAAAAAAAAAAAAAAAAAAAAAAAAAGTTACTTCCCTTAGAAGTTCCATCTAGTGCACACCAAAATGAAAATTCGAAACAGATACTGAAAATTCTGAATGCATGTGGTCGAAAACCAAATCTCTCTCTCTCTCTCTCAATAAGTAAAAAAAAATTATATATATTTTTTTTTTAACTTATGATTTTATTGCTATCACATAGGGGACCAATAATCCCGTGTGATCGCATATGAATGACAGGTTCTCTTTGTAGGGGGGAGGGGGTGGGGGGGCAGTGTGTGCAAGGAGGGGGCTGGAGAGGAGCAGTATACAGTGAGGGAGCAGTGTATACAGAGAGGTGCTGTCACTATATAAATCAGAATTAACTGTCACTTTTCCAGGAGCTAAAAAGGAAACTTTTTTTTTTTTTTATTTCTGGAAATAAACTAAAAGGAAACTGTTTATTTTATCTGGTGGGAAGGGACAGCCAATTCTGTGAGCTGTAGTGAAAAAAAAAAAAAAAAAAAAAAAAAAAAAAAAAAAAAAAAACACTAAAAACGCTAGTACAAAAAAATAATACAATAAAGCACCACTCAAAATTGGCATTTTTGACACTAGCAAATTGTTAAGCCAGTGTGCATGGACTCATAGTAGGGACTGTAGGCACTATTAAGAGCAGTGATTAAATCATTGCCATACACTTGAATCCAGGAAAAAATGTTTATGTAATAAGAGGTTATCCATCCTCAAACTTCCCAGCCAAAAGAGGTAGAAGTGACAAATTAAACACTGGCAGGTTACTTACCATCATTACCATTCTCAGATTTTGGACTTAAGCTCTTTTTGGCCACTTCAGCTAGCGCTCCGATGCCCAGACCGACTGCCAATCCTGAACAAACAGAAATATCAATCAGTAAAAATTAATATTCTATGCACTAGTCATGCGCTTGGTTAACAAGCTACAATGGGCTTTGTGACATAAGAGAGAGTATGACAAAATACCTGCTATTACCTTCACAGACCAGAAAAAAAAAAAAAAACAAAACTGCGCTCTTCTGCGACTTCGTTTCCCTTTGCTACTGGAACCCTGACCTCTGTGCTAGACTTTTCCTAACTGTCATAGCTCTATTCTATGAAAACTGTTGAAAAGTCCAAGTAAAATTTCAGTTCATGTCATCTAAATACATTTCAGGTACATCAAAACAAAAAAGGTGAGCAAGGTCTCACAGGCTGGGTCTGCTTTCTAAGGAAAATGAGTAGAAAAGCCTGTCCTCTAATAGTATGCTGCAGAGAAGGACCTTTGCTATGTGTGGAAGCAGTGGTCTCTATGCAGTGATCCAAAAGGTCCCCTGATGAGTTGGAGCAACAGCATCTCACAGAAGTGAGTCCACACCTCACATTTTTGTATATATTTTATTCTATCTTTTCATGTGACAACACTGAAGAAATGACACTTTGCTACAATGTGACGTAGTGAGTGTACAGCTTGTATAACATGTAAATTTGCTGTCCCCTCAAAATAACTCAACATACAGCCATTAATGTCTAAACCGCTGGCAACAAAAGTGAGTACATCCCTAAGTGAAAATATCCAAATTGGGCCCAATTAACCATTTTCCCTCCCCGGTGTCATGTGTCTCCTTAGTGTTACAAGGTCTCAGGTTTGAATGGGGAGCAGATGTGTTAAATTTGGTGTTATCGCTCTCACTCCTACTGGTCACTGGAAGTTCAACATGGCACCTCATGGCACAGAACTCTCGGAGGATATGAAAAAGAATTGTTACTCTACATAAAGATGGCCTAGGCTATAAGAAGATTGCCAAGACCCTGAAATTGTGAGATACTGTAGAGCTCTCCAATCAGCAGGGGGAGTGTTGTCTTTGTGGACTGACCAGAGAGAGAGAGGGACTTGATATGCAGCATGCTGGCAGGGGAAAGGCTTTTCTTCTCAAGCTGTGATTTAAACTCAAGGTATTCAAGTGGGCATTAAGATGATTTCTTTAGGACAGAGTGCAGGCAAGTGGACAAGGTACAACCTATATATTACTCCCCCCCCCCCCCAGGAGAATGAAATTCAAGATGGTGGCGCCGGGGATCCAAAGCTCAGCAAAGGATCAGCTCCAGTGAAGACAGAGCTGGACTCTGGCTGGCATATGCCATTTTGTTAAAAGTCAGTTGTGCTATTTGCAGCTGTTGACTTAATTGTTTAGAACTGAAGTTCTACTTTGAGAGAGTAAAGAACAGCAGTGGAAGAATTACAGGAAAGTATTACTGCTTTTTTTTTTGGTACAGGCAGGCCTCCTTTTATAGTTTACACAAATGAACCAGGGTCGCTTTAAAGTTCCCAATGACTGGTTCGTATACAGAAGGAAAACTTCTCAACCACTGAAATCAACATTCCAGATATAAGAAACAATGTTACCTTTTTTATCCCCGCTACAATTAAAGGGTGTGTATGTGCTCTGAACCATTTATTTAGTCTCTGTCATAACAAGGCAATGTATTTCTACATACTGCAATGTGAAAAGCCTCTATTGTTCAACACATTTTGAAGACCGATAAGACATTGTTAAAACTGACCTTTACTGACCAGAGAGAAAAGAATCCTCTGTATTCCACATTATTGTGTTTAGTTCCAACACAGCAGAATAAAACACAGACTTGCAGTCCTAAACTGGTCTATGCTTTTTTACTCTGTTGGGCCTTACAGGGACGGTTGATGGATCAGAGAAAAAAAATAAAATAAAAAAAAGGTGAGGGGGACCCTTTATTAGAAATGTTTTAATTACCACTGGGGAGTTACTCCAAATTTTTTTTTTCTTCTTACAGAGCTACACTGGATGAAGAATCTTCAGCATCCGAAACATCTGGGTGTGGTGGATGCTTGATTCCCCTCTGCACTTTGTGTATCCACCTGCTGCATCACTACGGTTCTGCAGGGACACAGTATTAGGCCCCTTTCACATGAGGGCTACTCTGTTTTGATCAGCAGGGATCTGTCCACCGACCCTCTGCTGATCAGAGCAGAGGAGGCGAATCAGCCAACCGTATCCACTCAGTTTCTACTGAGTGGCACAGACAGAGCCAAGTCTACTCTATGGGTGGCCAGAAGTAAACCGGCTATGATCCACTCTACCTAAACAAAAGTACGACAGATTCCCTTCCATTTTTAGTGGACCGGATGAAAACAGAGGCAGGCGGGTATAAAGGGACACAAGTCAGTTTAAACCCGCTGGTCTCTAGGGGTGAATGGACCGCCCAATCAAATCTGCCTGAAAAAGGGACAGATGGACCTAACTGGACCATTCATGTGAAACGGGCCTTACAGTACTGACTTAGCAGCTGCGGGAGTGGGGAAATTACAGTGCACAGTGGGGGATGCAAACGTCCAACAAACCCTGAAATGTGTTTGCTGCTGAAGATTCTACAACCACTGGACTCTGCAACTTTTTGCTCTTCTTTAGAGGAACAGCAGGCTGGCAAGTAGGCACTAAGTATACACCAAAACTGCAGTTACACTTCAAGGCTGAACTCCAGGCAAAAGTAATAAAACACACATTAATGCAGCTGTTATTTAAAAAGAGAAATACATCTTTCTGATCATATTTCATATTGCACCCATAGTGTCAACATGAAACACGATCATGATCTGCAGCCCCCATCCCCAAACTGCCATTGCCCCCTCCTCCCTACAGAATCTGGAGGTTTTTCACCACAGGCTGTCATTTGACTTTAGGAATCTGTAAATGAAAAAAAAACACAAAAAAACAGGTGCCATCTGCTGATGTTGGAGAGGGACTCTTAATTCTCAATGGACTTCAGGTGTGGTGACATCACCGCACTTGTGCTCCACTGATACTTCGTCTAACCTCACAACTCAAGGTCCATATCTCAGTATGAACAAACAGTGGAAGAATAATCTTCAGGAGCCATAGCATTAAACACATGATCCACTCATTGCAAATCTTTTTTAGGCTCTAATGCAACAAAATAATGCCTACCTTTCAATCAATAAATAGGAGTACATTTACTTTTTGGAAAATGTGGACCATGCTATAAATCAAGGATATAACAATCCACTGTACAGCAGTGCTAAGGCTGTGAGGAGCGTGGGGCAACACTAGAAACCAATCGAGTACACGGCATGCCAGAAGAGAGTGCAAAGAGAACAGATTCCCTCATAGGTCTGTGGCTGCTCCTTCACTGTCCAATCAAATCTTTTGGCAGGTAAGAGCTTCCTTATGTGCGTTTCTGTTTATGTACATATTTGCCTGGAGTTCAGTTTGTCTGACTCAAGCAGGCTACAAATGTTCAACAGTTCAAATGACTACTTGTCATCTGCCAAAAACAGCTCCTGCTTTGTTCCCGGTTCTGGGCCATGTGACCTAAACCCGATGAGTCACGGGGCCAGATAAAACAAATGAAAGGCTACTGCTTACAATGAGCAAATAGGCAAGCTAGTGACACTTGTACTCCGATTGGTAAAGGACACCCCTCCAGTTATTAAACACTCCCCAGCTTTTTTTTTTTTCTTAGCATGCCCAGTTAACATATAGTTTGTTTACCTCCAAAGTTAGCCAATCTGCCGATCCGCGTTACTGGAACTTTCCTCTCTCGCGCTCGTTCACTCAACTAAAAAGGGGGGGGGGGGAAATATATAGTTATAACCATTGTGTCCAGATAATAAAACATGAAGATCACAAAATATGTTCTGCATTTTCATTCTATTTTCACTTAAATCACATCTCAAGGCATACAGCTAAAATACATCGTGGAGATGCTTCTGCAACTTCACCCAGCAAAATATTGTCATTTTCTGCCATTTTCAGGTTTTACACAAAAAATTGACAGGTACCCAGTACTACAGCTTCCCACATCACCTGACTGTACACTAGATCAAATAAACATTATCCCATGGTTGAGGTCTTGTTCCCATGCTCTTCCTGTAAGCTACCTTACAGGGGCGGACTGACAACTCATGGGGCCCCCAGGCAATAGGGGGATCATGGGGCCCCTGTGTCCTTGCCCAACCTCAAAAAGCCTATGAAAAAAAAGAAGAAAAAAAAAAAAAGTGTATCAGGGGCACCTCATGGGGCCCCCTGCTGACCCCGTGCCCTTGGGCAGCGCCCGATTTTCCAAATGGTCAGTCTGCCCCTGCTACCATACCTTCATCTACTTTACTATCCAGAAGCTAGGTGCCATCCTTGTTCAGGCCTCATCCAGGGTGAGCATCCACTTCCTGAATGGAGATGCTATCTCAGAAATGATATAATCATGTAAATACTGATGCCTGTGAAGTGCTTGGCTGAATTTACAAATGCCTAAACCAGTTCAGCCCCCTGCTGTAGCCTGTCATCTTGTGACTTACTACAGACATACAATGTTGCAGTCTGACCACTAGGGGAGAGAAGACTGAGGAAATTATTTTGCCTGCAGCACACGGATGACCTCACCTCAGCCTGGTATGGTCTAAATGCTCAGATAAATGGAGGGAAGAAAAAAAATAAAAAAAATAAACACCACAAGCTTTGCAAATATCAGACTCTGCAATAAGTTAGCAATGATGTAGCGGAGATTGAAGCAATTGTGTGCACTGCATGCCAAAGGAGAGAGCGAAAAACTACAGACAGATTCCTTCATAAGTCTGCTGCTGCTCCTTCACTATCCAACAAATCTTTTGGCAGGTAAGAACTCCCTTATTCACTGACAGCAAGCGAGTCCTTCAAGGCTTTTATGGGGCAGCACAGTGGCTAAATGGTTAGCACTTCCACCTGACAGTACTAGGATCATCAAAGTACCTGCAATAAATAAATAAATAAGGTTTCTACAAACATACTGCTTTCAAACCCCTAAGAAACTCCCAATTGGCTCTGATGATTATAACGGAGATCTGACTGGAGTACAGAAACAGAAAAACAAAAACGTCTAGGCAGAATCAGCTGGCTACCTACAAAGACAGCTATTCAAGGTATACTGGAAACTGGTCATAAAAAAATAAAAAAAATTAAAATTAAAAAAAAACCCTGCTGATGACAAAACCATTGGAACAGTTCAGCAATGGTTTGCTCAGTTAGTGGACCACTGGAAGGAGCTGAAGCTGCAAGCCTCAGCCAGGGTCAAACTAAAGAAGGGGTCTACAAACATTTCAATACAAGGGTTTATATTTTACAAATATTTGCAGGCTGTGAAAAAATCAGTTTTATCAAATGAATGAATAAAATATAAATGAACAAAACACATTTTATTTGGATCCAGTTGTATGTGGCCGGCAGACCGTAGTTTGGAGACCTCTAAACAAGAGGAATCTCTTGAGTACCAGCAGTTCATTGCCAGTGTTGAAGAGGAAGCTTGGATCAAGAAGATGAGGACTTTTGTTGCCAGTGAGGACTATGGCGATATCCTGACAACCATCCAAGCTTTGCTTAGGAAAAAAACTAGGAAAACTGTATTAATAGTACCCAAGAAAAGGATTCAGTCACTAGCTCTAATGGGGAGGATCTTAATCAAAAGAAAAATCTTCAAGCAGAGGATATCAGTGACAGTGCAAGGCCTTAGAAGTAACTGAGCTTAAAGGAAGCAACCACTCAAAGTAAAGCCAAGCTTGATGAAAAAAAAAAAATGTCCTCCCTGCAGTTAAACTGGATTTGGTTTGCCTATTCTCAGATAGGCAAGAAGGAACAGCCTGAAGACAGATAACCAGATTGTAAGAAAAGTCACCAGATTGGAGCTCGAAAACAGCTTTTACTGAAAAGTGTGAAGCTTTTTGAAAACAAAGCTGGAAAGACTGAGCAGGAACCGGCTGAATTTCAATCTATTGACTTCAGTACAACCAGCCTGTCAGGTTTTTTTTTTCATATGATCACTGCCAGCAGATATAGCCAACAACAGTGATCATTGTATTCTGATGGAGGGCAAACTTCCAGCTGTCAGAATACAATAGTGCTGCGGGACGGAATCCCCCATAAACAGACTGTTGATGGGGGGAATAGAGCAAATTTTCTTTTATTCAACCCATGGTTGAAGGAAAGAAAGTTGCATAATCTATGGCCAGCCTTAAGACGGTTTCTCTGTATGTTATATATCTGCAATTTATTCATGCAGACTAGAAATTTTTTTTTGAAAGATCCAATATTTCATGTTCAAGGAAGGTTGATGTGAAACTTTGTAGGAGTGAGGAAATCAGCTACAAAAATGTAATTGGTCTATGAGCAATCTTAAAATTGGGAGGTTTTTCTTGAGCGCAAAGTCCCAGTGGTACACCAGATCCCCATAGGTACAGAGAATGCAGCTTTGCAGCCTCTCAGGTATCCTGCTGCTCTCAGTGTCCATTTATCAGGTGTCAGAATTGGCATTACTCCCTTACAGCAAACAAGTCTGGGAAAGTCACACGTGAAAGTCAAGGTCACAAATAAAGCAAAGAGTTGAGAAGGAGAAAAAAAAAAAAAGGCTTATCCTATGTGTAAAAGGTACAGCACAACATGTTAAACAAAATTAAACATTATCTCAGAGCTGAGTTTCAAGGTCGAAGCATTTTTACTTTGTGTATAGGGCCTTTAGGAGCTGGACAATCTTTACATCTGTAAAAAAACACACCTGCGAGTAGAATTTTTTCACATATTTGTTATGTTTGTTGGTGTGCGATAGAGAAAAATTTAATCTGCGACATCAATTGTTGCCATGCCAGAAAAAACGATCTTTGTTTATATGGAAATGAACATGCGCCAAAAATGCATTGGTCTGCCCAATTTGAGCTACAAAAAGTATTTCCAAAACTTTTTTGAGCTTCAGATGACTTGGAGTGGAGATGTGAACAATCTCCATACAGCAATATTGATTTTTTTTTTTTTCTCCCTGAACGTTTTGGAACTTTGCGCTACACAACAGACGTATATGGGGCCTAAGGCTCCATTCACACTTGTGCAACTCCAAAGTTACTCTAACTTTGGAGTGCAACTTTGATGCAGCTTTGGATGGGTGCGACTTGTTCTGCTGCAAAGTCAGAGGCATCACCAGCAAGGCTCCCATCATCCATCCACTACACATCTGCACCAGATGCTGGTCAGTAGCTCTGAGGAAAGTGATTCGTCCCCGAAACACATCAGCCATTTGACCGCACTGACAGTTGGAACACCTTGCTTGCCGTTGTGGCCATCGTCATTATGCAAATGCTTTTTAGATACATGCTTCGTCTGTGAGTATGTTTTTATTTTTCACTCCTTTCAATAAACCTTGAATAATGCACTAGGTGTGTGCGCCACCTGTTTATTCTCCATCTAGTGGCTGATCTCCCCATCTGAGGAGGGCTGCACCCCTGAAGCATTTCCTTTGGTTGTCGCTGTCCTGGTTCCCTTGGCTTCCCTTTTGGCTGTGCATATCCTGAGGCACTGGAGAGTACATACGATATCCAGTTCTACTGTAAAGTCAGCTCCTATTGTTGCAAGCACAAAAATTCAGGTACAACTTTCATGCAACGTTTGAGGGTTAACATTGAAGTCTATGGCCCTCAAATTGAATGAAAGTCAGATCAAAGCAGTGCATGAACTACTTTGAAGTCGCTGCAACTTTAAGTTAAACATATATGAATAGTTATACAAGTCGCACAAGTGTGAATGGTGTCAGACACAGACCAAGGGGAGGCACTACTAGTTTTATCTGCCATTTAAAGTGTATCAAAACCCAAGTACAAAATGTTGTGGTTGTGTTCAACTCCCCCCCCCCCCCCCCCCCCCTTTATTTTCACCTGCTGATCCTGCCAACACTTCCTAACTTAAAGTGACAACATACACTCAGTGTACAGTATTCTATGGATCACTGAGGATGCACCATTGTCACACTAGGCTTCTTGCTTAATTTGATTACAGACTGTAGAGTGCAGTGGACTGTAGAGATGCACCGAAATTTCAGCCACCAAAACATACCGGCTGAAAGTAGCTCTATCGGCATTTTGCAGATAGGAAAAAATTAGCGGATACAGGAGACTGTGTGTACTGCAGATGGGAGTGGGGTGGGTGGAGCGGAGAAAGGCAAGAGGAGCAGTGGCTGTCACTATATGTCAGTGCCGGTTTTTAAATGTGATTACCGGCTCTCTTTCTTCACTGTAGCTCACAGAATTAGCTGTCACTTACCCCCCCCCCCCCCCCCCAGCTAAAAGAAACAAAAAAGGAGTTTCCTTTTAGTTTCTTTCCCCAAGTTAACAGAAACAAAAGTTTTTTTAGTTTATCTCTCCAGATAAAAAACAAAAGTTTCCTTTATTTCCAGGGAATGTGACAGCTAATTCTGTGAGCTATAGTGAAGAAAAAAAAAAAAAAAAAAGCCAGCAAATGCATTTAAAAACCGGCACTGACATAGTGACAGCCAGTGAGGGAGCCTCTCTGTATACACTGCTCCTCTCCTGCCCCCCTCCTTGCACACACACTGCCCCCTACAAAGAGGACCTGTCACTCATATGCGATCACATAGGGGACTATTGGTCCCCTATGTGATAGCAATAAAATAAGTAAAAAAAAAACAAAATAAACATATACATGAAAAAGTAGAAAAAAAAAAAAAAATTGGAGCCTCCCCACCCCCACATAATGCAGACATTTTGGTTCAGTTGTCGGCCACACGCATTCTGAATTTTCGGTATCGGT